TATAAAAATAGACAAGAACACAAGAAAGCGTGCAGCAAGTGCTGAAGAACACTGGCAAAAATCAAGTATTATAATGTGACGTCCCCCGCCGCTGCTCGATCCTCGCTCGTTCGGGTGTCGCCGCTCCAAACGTGACGTCCGCCTGTCTGCGTCAGTCGTGCTATCCCGTCGTGTGATGACCAACTGGCCTGGTAGTGGTCGCGGCACCCAAATGTGACGTTCTAACTTTTTTGGTGATTCGGATAGAAATCTGGTTAGATTCGGTATCAGCCTCGTCGTTCCCAGCTCGCTTCCAACGTCTGGTTACCGAAGTAACTGCTTTGATTTCTAGTCTAACCTACCCACGTTGTGAATTGATCTAGGCAGACGAAATCAATCAGTCGCTGGGGCCGTAATGCAAGCTGAGTTCGAATAAGGGTGATATCGCACAAGTATGTGTAAAAGAAAAGAAAATAATAACTCGAAAAGTTCAAAGGTATCAAAAAAAGGATAACAATACCTTATATCTGGTTGCTGGATACATAGGACTGCGTCTATCTCCCGACCCGCTATATGGATTCGTGACACGTTGTTTTTGTTAGGCGAGTCTTAACATCTTAAGTTGTCTGTTCTTTAAGAAACTGATTCTTGGTGTGTCTTCAGGCGATAGTCGTAAAACTCGTTTTGGTGGTATGAGTCTAAGTCGCTCTTCAAAAATAAATTTTTCTTGGATTGAAGATGAGTTCGGAATTGCGTGAATCTTAGTCAGCTAATGCGTGGTGGGTCTTCAGAGCTCTCAACTTAACTCGAACTCACTGGAACTGGAAACTCTGGAAAGCTGGAAACTCAACTGATTTTCGCTCGCTGCGACTTTGCTTATATGGACGCCGACCAAAACCGGGAATTGGGCTTTGTCGGGGTTTGAGGTTCCTTGATAATTCAAATCCACAATCCCCTTCTTTTGTTTTCGGTCAGGAAAAATTTATTATTTCCATTTTTGGAAGTTTTCTCTTACCCCCACCTTCTTTCGTTCACATATGGGTCTCTTACCATACCCCCAGAGGGCGTCAACGGTTTCCTACTCCTTCGCAATAACATCTCATACCTATCCTCTTAATGAGTGGTAGCAGGCCTCTCCCCCTGCATCACTTGATCACCTCCGCCTGGTTCTCGTTAACCTTCATCCAATTGGCGTTCGACAGTGTGGGTGTGACCAGACTAGCCTTGTTTTTAAAAAAAATATATCTTGCTCAAAGAAAAAAAAATTATCTCCTCTTTTTCTTTTTTCTATTTCCTTTCTTTCTTTTCTTTTCTCTCTTCTTCTCTGGCCGCCAACAGAACAATACGACCTGTAGTGTGATAATCTCAATTCTTATCCCAATGTTACTTTCATATGGGATTCGTCAATCAGATTTTCGCCAATTATCAAGTGGGTGGTCATCTAGCGAAACACAGCCAACTTTTCGTCCCGATAAGGTAGTTTCGCTATCCTAGCCGTATTTGCATTCTTGGTGCCGATTTCTGATAAAATAGTTTCGCTGTCATTGTTAGATTCCAACACAACCCAGATGTCTTTTCTCTCAATGACACCCTTTCATCGACAAAGACTTGACCTAGGGTTGGGTTCTCTCTGTGTGTGGTCAGGACATTCTTATTAAATTTTTATCTCTTTAGAACTCTGTGGAGGTCCCAAATGGCATTCCCGTGACACAGTTAAATGTTTATCTATTCTGTCCCGGAGGTTAGCTAACCGATCTGGAATTCGTCAATTAGCTTTTCGCTAGCACCAAGTGGCTGGTCCATTAGACGCTTTCACATCCTGTCGTTATCTATTCCCGATAATATAAGTTCGCCACCACGACACAGTTAATTTTTATCTATTTAGAATTCTCGGAAATGGCAATGAAATCTTTCACCATTTTTCATTATCAAAATAACATCGCTAAATGTCCCTTTTGTGATGGCTTTCCTTTATCATCTAAGTTTTTTTTTTTTTAACTCTCGCCTCTCTTTTTCTTTCCCTTCTTTTCTTCCTTTTCCTTGCAGCCCTAAATGGTGTCACAATGATGAAAGTGGTGATTGGCCAAACTGTCAAGAAAACTGGATGGTCAAATATTATTGGTTCATGATTGATAACGAAAAGAATCTTCAATGACGTCAGAAAGTTTTTCCTCCTTCTTAAACCGCAAACAAGCAATATGTAAAAAAATAAATGTTTATGCTATTCTGAAAGCAAAGAAAATTTGCTTTGTTTCCCTCTCTGACCAAAGTTTATTGAAAAAATGCAAGCACCATGTTATGTCGATATGAAGAAAATTTACATAGACCAGCATTTTTTCACTGTTGATACGAAAAAGGAAAGATCTATATGTCGATTCCAAATATGTGAAAAAATGGAAATTGAAGAAAAATTATTGGCGCACATTCGAGAACTAATAATTGAAGTTATGTTTTAAAAGAATGAGTTTTTTTTTCTTGCTAGTGATGAACCTGTTGTCTCTTTTCATAATGGAAATAATTTGGGCTTGTTATAGAGATTGGTCAAGTTATACACTTTTCCTGGCAGAACATACAATGATTATATGTTAGAAAAGTCATAAATTAGATTGGATAGAGAAATTGAAAAAATAATGCATTATTAGATTTTATTGAATTCTACTCTAACTATATAATATAAACCAGCGCTATGTTTTGCCATCTTGACCAGTTGGAAGATTTCTTTTAAAGTCTGGATATAGACGATCATATAGCTGAACTGCTCGCTCGAAGCTTTAATTGTAAAAAAACTGCCGTAGTTAAAGTTATAAAAAATACCAGTAACATGAGTTGCAAGTGTTGAAAAGATTTGAATGAGCTTGCAGCTTATCCTCCGTGTTTTATATATTAACTAGAACTGACACGTGTTGAGACCCTCACAGTATTTAATATTGTTGAAGGTATCAGTAACATTTTTTTGTCGAGATGCACAAACTCTACCTTTCGTTCAATTTCGCAAGCCAATCAATGAACTTGAATAAGCTGATTTGTTTGGAAAAATACTTTGACAAAAACACCTACTTTGCGGTTTAATAATTTCTTTAATTTAATTTTATAGGACTTCATGGTAAACAATTTTTTAAAGATTTTATTTCCTTTTTAACAACGAAGAATAAATTCTTATTATTTCTTACTCTTGAGCATGCAAAATATAACTGGTCATACGTAAATATTTCTTTCTGGGGCCAAATTACAACTTTTTGAAGCGTTTGGCTTTGTAATTTATTTATAGTTCTGGCAAGCGCAACGCGAACTGGAAACTGGATTCTTGTATATATAAAATCTTAAAGAAAAGATATGCAAAAAGCAATATTGCATTTTTATTAAATAAGAATTTGTTATTTTAATCATTAAATTGTTTTTTTTAAATAGTGAGAGTATTTTTGTATGTTAAATAATAAAAATTTTAATTTTTCAAAAAAATTTAATGAAAATTTATTGTACTAAGCTACGCACACTAGTAAAAATAACTGTACTTTGTACCCATTATCTGTTCTCTCTAAAATTTGCTTTCGATCGGTCAATGTACGGATATTTTAGAGGGTGTAACGGACAGACTAACGGAAGTCACATTATTTTATATATAGATAGATAGATTCAATATGATTGGAAAATATGCTAATGATTTTTGACAAAAAGAATGTTCGATATTATTTTACTATTAAACTAGTCTCATCCCCGACTATTGTTTTATGCCAGTGATGGTGAAGTAAGGGTGGAATTGATCATGCGCACAAGGGCAATAATGAAGACTGGTGTAATAGTAAAATAATTACTTAATTTTCTTTGAATTTGTGCAACATCTATCCTCTTAACTTCTTTTATTTTTAGTTCCGCTGGGAACTCGTTTCTGTTGCATTATCTGATAGTCATTCCTATTTGCTCATAGAGAAACAAATATCAGTTATCAGGTGGTCATCTCATGCAGATATAACAACAATACACCTTTTCGGCAAAAAAAAAAAACTGGTTAAACTATAGGCATATTAAAAATTGGTGGGTTATTTAATGTCGACTAAAAGTTCCATAGGAAAAAATACGACCTACTAATGGTTAGATAGACATATGCCCGGTTTGCTCTAGTTAAGTAGTCGAACATTCCTTGCTATTATTGATAACTTGCTTTCTGCCAATTTTCTTATATTTCAGATTCAGATGAATTTCCTACAATTCTCTTCATATGTGCCTCAGTATTCGTCTTAATTCCTAGTCGTACTTTTAAATCCTTATATTTGGAAAATTTATCAAATTCCATTACTGAATTATTTTCATTAGAAGGTAGAATCATGTATACCATATAGAATTTATGCTCTTTGAAATGTTGTCTGACTATATACGATTGTACAGTACGGTTGGTATGCTTAGGGAAATCCCAGTGTAAAATAATTCATCACATGCCAGAAAAGGTATTGATTTTTGCTACCATTTTCCCGTCTTGTGTAGCTTATAATGTTGGTACATCTTCTAGTAAAGGCACTACCTTACTCTATCAGTCCTATTTTTGTTTTTTGTTTGTTTTTAATTAATTTGCTGTGAGGCTAAAGAAACGGTTGGATTTTTAATAATTTCCTCAATCTGAATGCAAAAATGACTTTGAATCAACTCTATATTTAAGATATGTTCCTCGTAAGATCTTAACAGACTTTGATCTTAAACTTATACAATAAAATATTTTTCCGATTTTGGACATTATTGCAGATAAATATTACTTTGCTTTATATAGAATACAATTTATATCTATATTTCAATAAATAATACTTTCATGATATACTGATTTATATGTTTAAAACCGTATCTTTGTCTATGAACACCGAATATAAAATTGATGATTATTATTTGTAACGGTCACAAATACTCGGTTCTGTTATCTGAGGATCAGACTAGAAATATCAAGCTATTATATACAGATTTTATTGTAAAAAGATTAATAATTATCTAATACAGATTATATTTAGATATTTAAATCCTAACTTGATATATTTCAGATCTTCCAGTGAATAGCACTCTACCTGAGGTTGGCAGCGAGGGTCACCGTGAGATATGGCAACTTCGTCTCCGAGAGGTAAATGATTTTATTTTTACTAGAAATATAAATCAAATAATCCTGTTTACATATTTTTAAACAATATAGAAACGTATAATCCTCAAGTATAAACATAATATGCCTACTAGTTACCGATAATAGACAAGAGGATAATTAGTAATATATGTTCAAAAGCGTATACTTATGTATGAGCACCGACTATAAAATTGGAGATTGTAAATTATGTGAGGATCCTAAATTCCCAGTCGTATTATTTGGTAGTGAGAATTAAGCTAGAAAATGAAAAGGAGATTGGTTTCATTTTAACAAAATCAATCGTTTATTTTTAGCTGTCACATTGGCACAAAATGAAATCAGTCAAAAACATTCTAAAGTAAAAATATACAATGCCATGAGCCTTATTTTACAGGTGAGAAAAATTGGCTTCGTTTGGATACTTAAAATTTAGTGACACTCCGGACAATTACTGTTACCCAACAGTAAAGATTTAAAAACAAATCAAAATTTGTTCGACCAAACTAAATTTAATACAGGACCAAATCGAAAGATGGCTTTCAAAGGAATAAGTTAATTGGCAATAAGTTACTAACCGTTCTCCTCCAAAAGATAATAATATAATGAAATCCAATTCTAGAGCTTATTTAATTTGCAGGTTTTATATTATGAAATGGACGAAGTCCGACAATTATTTTAATATATTTTCATTGTTATACGTATCAGACACGGAACCATCATATAGCCTGACGTGTTATACTTGTCTAAAATAACGTATAACAGTAAAAGATATAGGAAAATAATTGTCAGACTTCGTCCATTTCATAATATATGACGTCATTTGTTTACTTTACGATACGCTTCGAGTAGATATGAACGTTGGAGGGAAATCATGGGAAATTTGTAGTTTAAAAGCAGTAAATCGATCTTGCTAACAAGACGCTTCCTTCGTAGCTAAACTATTATAGCACGTCAGGCTATATGACGGTTCCGTGTTTGATACAGGTTCGATTCCTGTCGGAGGATGCATATTTTCTATGAAATTTCTCGGTCATTCAGGATGGTAAACGTTGTTAATACTGTTTATTACAAACAGAGCATTTACTTAAATATTTGTGTCTATATAAATAATGTATAAAATATATAAAAAATTTGCAGGTTTTATAACTCCTATTTAATTACAACTTTCAATTTATATGTACAGAGGAAAGTATACGTGTATATACATAGGACACAATAGATACCTAGTTTACTTTTTATACCGTTACTATTTTAATGTGTCAGTTTTCTGTCCTTCCATTGTAATCTTAGTGAATCAAATTTCAATCTTTTGTGATGAAGTAGACAGAGTATTATTTGAGATAGTATGGTTCTTCAACTCCTTAATGAAAACAGCTAACCTAAGACAAGCATTTAATATGTCGATTCGCACACGGAAATCGTTTAGAAGGCCCGGTGGCGTCTTTTACGAAAAAGAAATTGTGATTTTTTTCTATAAAGAATCACAGAAAGTGATTAAGCATTTATGCTAACGATTAATACTTACAGCTTAACAGTTAGAAAAGGCTTTATATATCACAGTTATTTCGTCGCTTTTCATTATATTCCCCTTTATCTTAGTATCCAGTGAACCGTGTACGTCGGTGTATGCATCCAAGTCATAGATTTATGGAAATATTAAACTCCTCCTTAATTCTTCTTCCATTTCTGAAAGTTTTCGTAATGTTTTTCTCTTACCCCCGGGTTACACTTAATAAAACACTGACACCCAGAATCACTTCTCTCGCAATGGTGTGTGAAACAAACATGTGACAAGTTGCAACGAATGAAGGAATTTTTTAGAAAATGCTTGTGTAATCAGTAGTCCATTAATAACCAAGTGCTCTCAGTTTGTCTATTTCGTTGTTTTATTTACATAATCGTCTGAACGTTATCCTTGTTGAACTGCTTTCTCTGTATAAATTGCAACTTGACAATTTAACAATCTTCGACATAGAAAAATAACACACAAAAGCGCTATTATAGATTCACTTTTTTGTTAACGTATTAGCATAGTTCCCGTCAAAAATGTATGGATTTATTCCGTACGGATCACTCTAGAGTCAGTGTATTAGTGCTGAAGAAAATAATATCGGAACTGTTGTTATGGTAACGGTAATAAAGTACGCAATGTGAAACCGTTTGTCACAAATTGACCTCGTATATACGTTTTGTCTACAATTGGAATGCTTCCCTCAATAGGAAAGACGCCGGATAAATTATGTGGCTTCAGGAGGGGACTACTTTGAAGGAGATTAAATGCCGAATTGATATATGTTGTAGTTTTCTTTCTATAGCACCAGTCCCGGTATTTTTGATCGTATGTACGTTCTGTCTACTACTCAAGTTTTGCTTTCCGACACATTTCTTAAAATTAGAGTTTAGTATCTGTGCACTTTTTGAAATGTATTTCGTTTATGGACACACATGCATCGGCAAAGATCACCAGCTTCTCCAATGGTTGCTTTCAGATATTTAAGTTTACATTTAATCACTGAAACACGGCTGTTTGGTACACAAACCTCACTGATTTCCTGTGGATTCCAGAATGAAATAAAGGTTTATAAATGGTTAAATTCTGGTACCAAATTAGGTATTAAGATATTAAAACAAAATCACGTAAATATAGATGAGTCATCAGCTGCCCTAACGGAAATACGCACTTATATAGTGTTACATGACGGGAAAATCAGTGTACATATTTTTCTTATATCTTAACTCATATAACAAAGAAGAAATGTCTCTTCATTAATAACGTTCTGATGATGCGATAAATAAATACAAGAAACATTTTTTTTTACTTTCTAAGCTATTTGAATACAAACAAGTATGTTTTCCATTATTACTTTCATTCGTCATTTCTAAAATTGTATGACATGCAATGTTTTTGATGTTAGTACACTGTTCGCTCCAAGCGACAAAAGTTTTAAATAAAAACAATTCCAACCCACAAAGTAATTACTTGAGGTTTTCTTCATTAAATACAGTTTCACAATTTAGCATCTCTTAACGTGTATGCAAAAAGCACTCGACTTTATGTAAGCAGCGGATACTCGTCTCTGGTATGCGTTGAAGTAGTTGCTACTTCTGTTACTCGAAGGAACCATCATAGCGCTTTTGGGCTCTTAAAATTCAATGAGGATACGGGCAATTACTATTACTCGAAAGAAAAGAGGCATAAACAAAATTTGCACGGCCAAGCTAATTTTGGTACAGGATCAAATTCATTGATCACTTTGAAAAGAAAGACCACGCAATAATTAATAAGATTAATATATTAACTATTGTTCTCCAAAAGAGATGAAATTCATTTGTAGAACGTCCACTGAGAACTGATTGGTGTGCTTTTTACGACTTATGTGGTTTATTTAAAGCCGAAAATATATTTCGTACTGTTTGAATAACGTTACTGTTTTATGTTGTCGTTTTCTGGTGGGGACGCAAATGAATATTGCATTAACAATGAGAATAACAATTATTTTTCTAGATACAAGTGCTACTATTTTACCCACAATTTCAACCCACTGATAAACAAGCTAACTTGTTAAACTGAACCTACTGAAAAAGGCTCCCCGCCAAAATTTCTACTATTGATTCTTTAGGCTTACGGCCATATCAGGTTGAAACACCGGTTCTCATATAGTCACCAAAGTTATGCAACGTCGAGCCTGGTCAGTATCTAAATGGGTGACCGCTTATAATAACAGTTGTTGTGTGCTTGTATGAGTGGGTGGAGTAATCGATAACGGAATCGGAAATCGAAAAGCCAGCTATGGGTATAGTATTTGTATCGGTAAAACATTATCTCGAAAAAAAAATTCTTAATAACTAAAAATATTTTCTAACTTTATTTTATAACCTGCAAAAGGTTGAGAAACCGTAAAAAAAAACAAATCAATTTGTATATATTCTTTACAGCAGGAAAATGAAAATAAAAACAGTGTTTAAAATTTCTGTCTCTCCGTTATTCTGCACATAACTTAGTAATACTTTTTGTAGATTTTATAACAGCTGTTTAATTCTAAGCCTCAATTTATATGTATAGAGGAAAATATACGTGTATATGCATAGTGCGCTAGAGCTAGTAGGTTTGTCTTTTATACCATTAGTATTGTTATATGTTGGGTGCGTGCACCTTTTTGTGATCTTGCGCCGTAAATATTTAAGATTAGTATATAGTGTTATCAAACTTGACACGTCGATCTTTACTTCTCTAACAAGCATTGCTACTGAGTACCCCACACATGTATCTTGTTTTTGTTATCTTAGATAAAATTCCATATCTATTCAGGATCATAGGTCTCCACAGATTCCTTTATTTTCTGTGAACAACCATGACATTGTCGGAAAGATAGTGGAGTAAATTCCGTTGCCTTCTGTACTTTGAACACAGAGTAAACCTTCTTTTAGACTACCTTGCTATTTAACACATAGCTCGGACGAGAAAGTATGGATTCATATCTTTCCTAAGGGCACTAGTGTGAATATGAACACTACTAGGCCAGAATTTGAACCCGGTTCGCCGATTCCACTTTCCGTGTGGTTATCTGTTACGCTACCTTTATATTCCAGTCTTCGTAAATAAGATCAACTCACAAATCGAATTTGATCCTTACTGGTTATCTCTCAACACTGACTCTGTACTAAACTTAATACTGAACAATGTCAACTTCATTTTTTACTAACCTAAACATAGCAAATATATTAAACTTTGCTATTTTACGCCCAGTAAACGTCATATTAACTGTCTGGCGCCATAGGATAATATCATTGAATATTTTTTTTTTGTGACCGTGTAAACTAGTTTTACAAAATGTTGGAAAGTTAAATAGTTTTGGTGTTTTAAAGAGAATTTTTATTGCTTAACAAATGGCCTTTGATCTCTGTGTTGATAGCAACTGAAGCAGTTTAGGTTACGCAACGTCGAAACTGGTCAGTATCTAGATGGGTGGCCGCTTGTAATAACAGGTGTTGTGTGCTTGTATGCGTGGGTGGAGTAATGGATAACAGAATTGGAAATCGAAAAGCCAGCTATAGGTTAATTAATAGGATTTTTATCAGTATAGGTTTTCCTGTGATAGATGTTTTCCCTCGGGTGTGATGGTGATGTAAATGAGTACAAAATAATAAAACCTTCGTTTTCATAAAATATCTAATGCATAAAAACATATTTGTTTTGCAATTACTTTCATCATTTATTCGTAAAATTATCTGATGGACAGGAATTTTGCTGTTTCGTATTTTTCTCTTCAAGCGACAAAAACAGTGAAAAAATTCATTTCCTTATCAACACACAAAACTGGATACTAAAATTTCTTATTACCAATAATTATCTTTTAAAACATACATAAAAATAGAAATTAAAACATTGTTTTGTCAATTCTTCTTTCCTACTATGATTTACTGTTTGTATTTACACAACATTTATATAATTACATAGCAATAAAGTTTTATTTCATGTCATAAAATAAATAATTTCTGAACAATAAAGTCAATTGAATTAAATCCCAAACTACAAAATAATTACTTGACTTTTTATTGTTATACGTTATTTTATAAACTAGTATAGCACGTCAGGCTATATGACGGTTCCGTGTCTGATACGTATAACAATGAAAATATATTAAAATAATTGTCGGACTTCGTCCATTTCATAATATAAAACCTGCAAATTAAATAAGCTCTAGCATTGGATTTCATTATATTAATATCTTTTCATATTCAATTTGACAATTTAATATCTCAACGTACGAAAAAAATGACTCAACTTTATACATGGACGAGAACGAATACGCACCACTAGTATGCATTGAAGTAGTTGCTACTTTTGTTACTCGATGGAAACATCAGAGCTCTTTACGTTGTTCACTGCAGTCCCTGTCCCCATATTTATACTTATACATGGAGTTTTATGTAGATAAAAACATTCTAAAGTGAAAATATACAATGCCATGAGCCTTATTTTGCAGGTGAGAAAAATTGGCTTCGTTTGCATACTTAAAATTTAGTGACACTCCGGCAATTACTGTTACCCAACAGTAAAGATTTAAAAACAAATCAAAATTTGTTCGACCAAACTAAATTTAATACAGGACCAAATCGAAAGATGGCTTTCAAAGGAATAAGTTAATTGGCAATAAGTTACTAACCGTTCTCCTCCAAAAGATAATAATATAATGAAATCCAATTCTAGAGCTTATTTAATTTGCAGGTTTTATATTATGAAATGGACGAAGTCCGACAATTATTTTAATATATTTTCATTGTTATACGTATCAGACACGGAACCGTCATATAGCCTGACGTGTTATACTCGTCTATAAAATAACGTATAACAATAAAAAATATATGAAAATAATTATCAGACTTCGTCCATTTCATAATATATGACGTCATTTGTTTACTTTAAGATACGCTTCGAGTAGATACGAACGTTGGAGGGAAATCATGGGAAATTTGTAGTTTAAAAGCAGTAAATTGACCTTATTAACAAGACGCTTCTTTCGTAGCTAAACTATTATAGCACGTCAGGCTATATGACGGTTCCGTGTTTGATACAGGTTCGATTCCTGTCGGAGGATGCATATTTTCTATGAAATTTCTCGAACATTCAGGCCGGTAAACGTTGTTAATACTGTTTATTATAAACAGAGCATTTACTTAAGTATTTGTGTCTATATAAATAATGTATAAAATATATAAAAAATTTGCAGGTTTTATAACTCCTATTTAATTACAAGTTTCAATTTATATGTACAGAGGAAAGTATACGTGTATATGTATAGGACGCAATAGATAGCTATTATTTTAATGCGTTTGTTGTCTGTCCTTCCCTTGTGATCTTGTGCCATAACAATTTATGCATAGTACATATTAATTTTGTAACCTCGTTTTGAAAGAAATCTTAGCAAACTTACCACATTGATCTTTACTGCAGTAATATGAATAGTCACTGTGTACCCTACACGTGTACCTTGTTTTGTGCTATACTATGCTTAAATAAAATGACATGTCACTTCAAGACATATATGATCATGGCTCTCCAGAGATTCTTTTATTTTCTGTGAACTGCCACGAGATTCTGGGTAAGATGGTGGAAAGATTTTCGTTCCCTTCTGCACTCTGAATTAAGAGTAGGTCTTCTTTTAAAGTGGCTACTATTCAAAATTCAATAGTTCAGTCTACCTTACTATTTAGCCTATAGCTGGAGCGAGAAGGTATGGATTCATGCCTTTCCCAAGCGCATTACTGCGAATGTGAACACCGCAGAGTAGGTCAGAATTCGAACTTCATTATCTATTTCTTTTTTTGTTGATTATCTGTTTCTCTACCAGTACATTCTGTACTATGCCAGACTTCTTAAATAAAGATATTTCACACATCCTCCACGACTTTGAACTTGAACTTTACTGGTTATCTCTCTGACCCTGTGCTAAATTTACAATGGAACAATGCCATCGTATATTTTTTATTAGGTAAATTTACAATGAGTCCTTTGTCATGTAAAGTTCAGTAAAGCTGAATATTGACTGTATGCTGTCATAGGATAAAAAGATCATATATTTTCTTTCTGGTATAATAAACTAGGCTTAATAAATATTGATAAATTATAGCGAATTATATAACGTGTATTTGTTTTTAAACATTCTGAATTGCTAGCAACTGAAACAGTATACTTTTTCCTGCAAAGGATATTTTTGCTCGGCTGTGCACTTGTAAATAAGAGTTATTATCATCTACATTATAAATAAACGGTTAGGTTTTCATTTGATATAGAAATCCAAGTTTAAATGTTTGCTAACATTGTATTTTCTGTCTGTATTTTCCAGTTCCAGGGTTGTCTAATGGTTGCCAGTCTGGTCCAGATTTTGATTGGCTTCAGTGGCTTAATGGAAGTGTTTTTATCTTTTGTTGGACCACTTACCATTATGCCTACAATCACTTTGATTGGACTTGGTTTGTTTGAAGTCGCAAGCCGCTATTCTTCTGGGCTATGGTATATCGCTTTCCTGTAAGTTAAAAATTATATACTACACTAATATCTTTCTTATATATATATATATATATATATATATATATATATATATATATATATATATATATATATTATAAAGAAATCATACAAAAAAATTAATCAGTAAAGTAAATGTATTAATGACGAATCACTTCGCTAACAGATTTAATAAAGCATTAACCTATTAACAACTCGTTGAATGACGTGATACTTAATGTTCCATTGCTAGTACTTTCGAAAAGATTCACGTTTTCATCGTCAGGTATTAATATTTGCTTTTCATTTCAGGTAAATTTCCAAGACGAAAATAAATGTATTGCAGGGTGAAAGATGTTTTCTTAAGAAAGTACTAGCAATGTAACATCTAATCCATTTTACAATTTTAAACATAACGATCGCGTCATTCAACGAGTGGTTAGTAGGTTAATACTTTATTAAATTTGTTAGCGAAGTGATTTCGCCATTAATTACATTAACTTTACTGATTAATTCTTTGTATCATTACTTCTTTATAATATATATATATATATATATATATATATATATATATATATATATATACTGTAACATATGGGATAACGATATATAACTTTTATATATGAAGAAGTGTTTGAATGTAACAAACTGGTCATGAATAATTACAAAAGCAAACATGACTGGATTGGAAGAGGTATTCACCGAAAATTGTGCAATTGTGTTTGATTCGACCTTCTGCATTTCTTTATTTTCCTTTTTTTTCTAATAAGACGACCGTCCTGACCTGTATATTTTCACAAAAGTTTTCGTGTGACGCGTTTCGTCCCTTAGAAATTAGAAACGCGACACGCAAAAACTTTTTCCATTTTGTCATGTATCTTTCCTCCACACACACACGCACGCACGCACGCACGCACGCACGCATATATAATGTACATTTGGGCAGCGCCTTTCTTTTAAACATGTTTTGTTGAATAAGAAAAACAAGGAAATTTTTTTTTTTATTTAGTCTTTCCAGCATTTTTACACTTTTCCGTTTGATTGGAGTAAGGGAGTGAAAAAATTGCCTGTATTTTCTCTTTTCGGCTGCTTCTTTAGCCATTTTCAAAGGTTTTTTTCGGTGTTGTTAATTTCTCTTCTTGTTTGACTGTTCATTTGTGTTGTTTTCAAAACTAGGGGGAGAGTTTATTCCGGGTTTCGTGTGTTGAGTGCGGCTGGAATTCGAGTGAGCGTCTTTCTGTTTTTGTAAAAACTTTCAAAACACCATTCTCACTGTCCAATAACCTCTTTGAAAATAGCTACAGAAAACGCTTGGGAGCAATGAAAAATACGGATAATTTTTGCGCTCCCTTACTCCAACCAAGCGGAAAATCAAAGAATTGTGGAAAAACTAAATAAAAAATGAATTAAATTTTCTTTGCCTGTCATATTCAACGAAACATTGGGCACCTTGAAGTGGTGTTATGGTTAGAAAGCTCGTCTTGTTAGATCAATTACGACTGAGTAGTGAGTTCGATCCTCACTGGGTGCCCCATACTTTCGGCCTTGTGCCACATCTAAGCCAGGCTTAGAAAATCACCATATTCAACGAAACATATTTATATATTAGAAAATATAGTCAACAAAATTATTTCTAACCTTCAGTTTTTAGAGTAAAACAGTGTACAGTCACGGGAATAAGAGGAAAGATCAAAGAATACAGAAAAATCTTTTCAAAAGAAAAACTCTTTTAGATTTTTTTTTTATCCTTTTCCAACAGGCAACACTTTGTCGCTGAGCCAGACAAAACTTAAGAAATTCTAACCAAATGAACTCTGTGCTCCCAAAGTGTTTTTCTTTGGTCAGATAACAATTAATGAAATCTAAAAACATGATTGCATGTATCCGGTCTACAAGCGACATGACAGACTATGAACTACATTTCTGTCCACTATTTTTCTGTAAATTGAAAACTTTCACATGGCAGCCAGTATCTTCTCTAACCTCTCAAACATTTTTAGTCGTTGTTCTACTGTGGAAACAAATTCAAATGCCGGTCAAAACTCGTATTTCAGGAATTGGCTTGATTTTATCATCATCTAAAATTAAATACAAGGAGATGCTAAAAACAAACAAACATCCAGATTTATATTGTAATCTCTTCTTGATGTGGTCTAATGTTAATGGATAAATAACTAAAAAAATTAATATATATACTATAAAGATCTTTTTAAAATATTTAAAATTAAATATATATACATAAGAAAAACAGTAAACAATCAAACACAAACATGTATATATATGTGTGTGTGTGCGCGTAAGATTTGTATATTCCATTTATATATGTATGTATGTATGTATGTATGTATGTATGTATGTATGCATATATATTTATATATATATATATATATATATATATATATATATATATAGGAGAAACTAAGCCGACGCGTATCGTTCTCTGAGTGAATTTATCAAGGCAATCAATGCCTTGAGATAGTCCATCAGAGGACGAAACGCGTCAACTAAGTGTGATTTTTTCTTCTTGTACCTTTTTTAGTCATATATATATATATATATATATATATATATATATAGAGAGAGAGAGAGAGAGAGAGAGAGAGAAAGAGAGAACAAATTCATTTAACACTGAGTGACTACAGTCTGTTTCATGCAATCTTCCAGTCACGAAGACTGCGTTCAAGCTTGAAACACTGCTTGCACACGGTATCAACCTGAGTTGTCTACTTATATATATATATATATATATATATATATATATATATATATATATATATATATATATATATATATATATATGTGTGTTAGGCACTTTTAACCATAAATAGAGGATACCTCTAAAAAAATATATTTTTATCTTATATCCACTGATATAAACGTTTAGTTTTGGGGTTTTTTTTTTTAAAGCAAGAACGTTATCAGAAATAAATGTATATACATCATTTGTCTATATTTTTATCTGTGTCTTTTCACATGTTAACTTTCACAAGATTCTCATATTAAAATGTATATAGTGGCCACTGTTCTGTTGCTTAGATTGGTTCAAACACGAAAATCTTTAAGTTTTAATATAATTTGATACATGGTGAACTCACTGAACGGTTAGCTTTTTCATGAACAACGCTGACTTTTTCTTTAAACAAATGAAATCAAATACTCTCAGCGAATAACTATATACCATGTGCCCAGAAGATTTGGCAGGAAAGCATTCGTAGTTTGATAAACCCACGCTTATCTGCGCATAGCTGAATGCAGAAATTGCAAAGTTATTTTGCAGGACAGTGACTGATTTATATTCATATTCTGGTTCGGTTACTTGGCTTAATCTAAGTCGCCTGCACCATTTTCATTCATTTGTAATCTGGGGAAAGTCTCATCTCTTTCTTCACAAAGACGACATTTGTATATGTGTATGTGCGTGTGTTGCTGTTGCTACTACAAGAGAAAGATAATTGATTTACATAACTAACTCTTTATAGTGAATTATTGATTATTATTATTAATTAAAAATACGAAGGGTCCATACTCGACTGCAATATTTGTGGTCATGAAGTATCGTTGATGATGTTTGGTTTCATCTGATTTGATGCAATATTTTCCATTTTATGGAAATGCTAATAGCCAAGGAAATACTTTTTTTAAAAAAACAAATGTTTATAATGCTCCACCAGATTTAACTGGGGCGAAGATAGAAATAATGGAGTTTTAAATCAAATCACTGGATATAATAAAATGCTCCTGAATGAGTAAAAAAGCAAACATGATTGGGGTGGAAGAGGTATTCATTGGAAAGTATATTATGCAATATTCTTTGGTTCGAACATAAAAAACAAAGTAAAATCTGATTTGTTCTGTATATCTTTCTCTTTTTCTCTTCTAACAGGACAACGGCACTGATCTGTATATTTTCACAATATATGAAAAATATTGAGGTACCCTGTTTCATTTACAAGAAAGGCAGTGGATGCTCAAAGAAATCTCTTTCTTTATTTAAAATGTTTCCAGTAAGTAGCGTTTGAGATTTTCATTTTACACTAATAAATATATTCTTTTTTTTTTATTTGCTGACTTATAAAAATAAGATAGCAACAATGTTCATGAAATGATTTCATAGTATCAGGTTCAATGTAAATTCAAGATAATTTCTCTCAGTTCAGACCCTTCCATTAAACTCGAGTTGCCCATTACAAATATGGGCTCACCTAGACCAACGCAAAAAAGCTATATGCAAAATCCATTTCTACGTGGGTAATTACGAAATGGGCGCAGGTCAGTTTTGCATTTGTTGAGTCGGCAGTTTTGGGGGTTTTTTTTGGGGGGGTCTTTTTGTTTGTTTGTTTGTTTTTTTGTTTTGGGCGGTCTTTTTTTTTTAAATACATTGATTTAATGACAAACCTTATGAGTTATAGATGAGTTTTATTTAATTATTACGAATTCACCAATGCCGTCAAAAATGATATATATGAAATTGATTTTTTTTTCACATGAGGTTCACCCTGTACTTGGCCCGAGGGCCACTCCAGTTACAGAATTACAGTAATAGGCAGTCTATGTGAATAAGAGGGAAGATAATGATTAATACTAGCCTTGAACAGGTTAAGATTGTAGCGATTGGGGAAACATCTTATGAGTCGGTTCCACAGGTCAGTGGTTCGCGGGAATAAGCTGTTCAATTGAAACTTACTTCTCACCAATGGAATACAGAGGGAATGAGGGGTGGTTTGCTACAATGTGAGTGGCACGGCAGGTCCTAACCGTAAAGGTTAGAACTGACGAAGCGAAAGGAATTTAGTTCGTGCGAGCAATGACAGGTTTACCACTTGTTAATCTTTGAGTCTTATGAAGTTTTCACATATGAATCTTGAAATATATCTTCCAGTTATTATTGTTTAACTCGACTCTTTCACGGAGTCGGTCTTTTAATTTCTCGGCTTCATAACGCTATGATGAAGTATTAATTGCACAGTATGAAATAAATTTATTTTCGATTATTTATTTTTTTCGTATTAACTTATTGAAGTGGCGCATCGCTCAGGCCATTTGTGTGCTTGTTGAGTCAACAGTTCTTTAAAATAAATAAGTTCATTTAATGAAAAATTTTATTAAATACTTTATTTTCCATTGTTTTTACGTTTACTTTTATGAAAATAAATATTTATAAACCAATCACACTTAAGAAAACACTTACATCTTAAAACACACCAATAAAATCATAGATTACAAATCAGAATGTTTGTTGTATTAGTTATCATCATTTTTAGGTAGATACCGACCAAATATCGTACGGACGTAGTAGAAGACATACCACGTGACTTCTTAGGGCCAATTAGGAATAAATAAATAATTTAATTCTGGAGCCGATATTGTTCGGAAAAAGTGTATAAAAAACATACGAAATCCGTTCCCAAAAAACAATATACACGCGGCTGCCACCAAATTCTACACACACCTCTCGCTGATGACCTTCATGACCTCATGTCAAAAACGACAGCGTTGACAAACTCCAGACCACGGCAACACCGCCAAAAGTAAGAAACAATTCGTATCTCTAGTATCCGTTTTTACTATGAATCACGCACACACATGTTGACTTTTTCATACAAACACACATATCACAACATTTTATTGTTTCTCACACGCGTACACAAAGACAGTTTATATTTTATTTCAGAACTTTATCAACCCAAACAAAAGACATTACTTTCCAATCTATTATCAACTTTTTGTATTCCTATCGTTATATTAAATCAATGTTTATTTGTTGAAACTACGTCGTCTTTTCTACTGAATTTTATTCCTTCAATGAAAAGCGTTTGATTATTCTAGACGGCCAAATTACGAGCGACCCTGTAACGATATTTTATTAATGTATTGAATCCCGACACTCCAAATTTTAATATTCAACGAAAAACCGAGTAGAAGGATTCCTACAAATGGTGACCACGACTCTATTACCTTGTGAAAACACGAAAGTTGGTAAATAGAACACACAAATATACGTATCTTAAAAAAAAAAAAAAAAAAAAAAAAATGGAACAACAAAACACAAATAGTACGGAAGCTTCGTTGGCAACGGTCACCCTGAATTTACCTGCATATAACCCTAACAACATAAAATCATGGTTTATACAAATGCAGGCCATATTCAACGCGAAGAAAATTGTTTCGCAAAGAGCCCGATACTGTTATTTAGTAGAAAAACTTCCAGCAGAAGTTGTAGAAGTGACGGACTTACTGGAAACAATGCCAGAAGAAAATCCCTACGATACATTAAAAACGGCCATAATTAAACGAACTGGAATTTCGAATGAGACAATGCTGAGCGATTTGTTTACCTGTGTGGAACCAGGTGACCGAACTCCTTCCCAGTTATTAAGACACATGAAAACTCTTTTAGGTACTAATGTCATGGCAGAAAATATTCTACGGAGATTGTGGTTGGACAAACTACCCAGCACAATGACGCAAATTTTAGCACCCATGACAGAGGAAACTGAACTGGAAAAACTTGCGGATTCTGCTGACCGAATCCATGTTGGTTTTAGAGACAGGGAGGTGAACACATTGACACCACAATGTACAAACCAACAACAAAACGAACAAATTGAGAAACTGCAAGCAACGGTTGCAAGTTTAGCCAAACAGATGCAGTCTATCTTGAACCTACATCAACAACAACGAACTTCTCGTAATACTACCTGACCTAAGTACAGACGAAGGAGTAACAGCAGGAGTTTCAGCGGTGATAGAGGAAGACGAAAATTCGATATCTGCTACTATCATTATAAATTTGGTGCAGAGGCAAGACGCTGTTTGAAGCCTTGTGCCTTTGTAGACCCGGCATCGGAAAACTTAAATTCCAGACAACAGAGACGACGACTGTTGCTGGACTCTCACAAAAAGGTCGTCTCTTCTATATCCTTGATAGAAATCATGGATATAAGTTTTAATAGACACTGGAGCTGAAGTGAGTGTTTTACCGCCGGATCCAAAGCAAAATTTAAAACCAGGACTCTACAAACTTCAAGCTGCTAACGGTACAAAAATTGATACCTTTGGCGAGAAAGCAGTAACCATCGACCTGGGTATGCGGCGAAATTTTCTGTGGGTTTTTACTCAAGCTAATGTTACCACACCAATATTAGGTGCAGACTTTCTAGCTAAATTTAATTTATCGGTTAACATGACCACTCATTCCTTAGTTGACAATCTGACAGAACTTTCTGTCAGAGGAATTTGCTCCCGATACCAGTCTACTGGAATTAGTTCTGCCTTACCACAAGTTAGCGGTATTAAGGAATTAATACAGAAATACACGGAAATCATCACTCAACCTTTTAAAAACACAGACACAATTAAGCACAATGCCAAACACCACATAAAAACAACGGGACAACCGGTACACTCTACGCCGAGACGATTAAAACCGGACAAATATAAAATAGCCAAGGCAGAGTTTCAGCAAATGCTACAGTTGGGAATCATACGTCCTTCCAAGAGCGCATGGTCATCACCATTGCACATGGTCCAAAAATCCAACACGACAGCATGGCGTCCGTGTGGCGATTTCCGCAGATTGAACGCCAAAACCATCCCTGACAGATACCCAATTCCGCATATACACGATTTTGCAATGGGTCTCCAAGGTGCACGCATTTTCTCAAAGTTAGACCTGGTAAAGGCATATTACCAAATACCAGTTGCCGAAGAGGACATCCACAAAACTTCTCTGACGACACCTTTCGGATTATACGAGTTCGTGCGAATGCCTTTTGGGTTACGTAACGCCGCTCAAACCTTCCAGAGACTAATCGACGAGGTATTTAGAGGTTTACCTTTCATATATGCCTACATAGATGATGTTTTAATCGCCAGCAAAAACCGAGAAGAACACAAAATGCATTTGGAACAAGCTTTCCAAAGACTTTCGCATTTTGGACTCAAAATCAATGTTCAAAAGTGTGTTTTTGGAGAAACAAAAATAAATTTCCTCGGACATGAAATTGACCACGAAGGTATTTCACCTTTACCAGACAAATTGGAAGCTATTACCAATTTTCCACAACCAACGTCACTAAGACAATTTGCGAAGATTTATAGGCCTTATCAATTATTACAGGAGATTTATACCCAATTGTTCAGCGGTACTGTCACCTTTGACAAACCTACTAAAGAACAAGAACAAAAAGATTATGTTACAGGAAGACACTCTAGAAGCATTCAACAATGCCAAAACAGCTTTTGCTAACTTTACTAAGCTGAATTACATCAAGGATAGCGAGAAAATTAAGCTTACCCTCACAACAGATGCTTCATCAACAGCTGTAGGTGCGGTTTTACACCAAATCCTGGACAAACATGTCACACCTATATCTTTCTTCTCCGCTAAACTAAATAAGGCACAAACTAAATACAGCACATTTTCGAGAGAGCTATAAGCAATATATCTTTCTATTAAACATTTTCAGCACCTCCTGGAGGGCAGAGATTTCATCATATACACAGACCATAAACCATTAATATATGCATTACACACACGTACTGACAAATATAATCCTCGGGAAATCAGACACCTAGATTACATTTCCCAATTCTCTTCAGATATCAGATATGTAACAGGTCAAGAAAACATAGTGGCAAATGCATTATCACGTGCCACAATTGCTTCTTTAGATTCTAGTTCTTTGAACCTCGAATTAATCGCTAAAGAACAAACCACAGACACTACACTCCAAGAAGTACAACAAAGCACATCACTAAAATTAGTTGAACTACCTGTTCCATTCAGTGATACTACATTTTATTGTGACATTTCACAAACTCAACCACGACCTTACATACCAGCAAATTTGAGACAGCAACTATTCCAACACTTCCATACATTGTCTCACCCAGGAAAAGTGCAACTGTGAAGTTAATTGCTGAACGTTTTGTCTGGCCAAATATGTCAACTGACATAAGAAATTGGACAAAATATTGTTTATCATGCCAGAAGAACAAGATA